CATGCCTCGCCTCCCGCCGACGGGGAACCAGCCGCGTGCTGCCCGGCGGCACCGCGCTGCTGCCGCCGCTGCTGCTCGGCGCGACGACGGCGCCGCCAGCGCTGCTGCCCGCCCCCGGCCCCGTCAGCATCAGCTTCCCGCTGCCCGCCGCGCCGCCCGACGCGCCGCCCGTCGCGCCGCCCGACGCGCCGCCGTTTGCGCCGCCCGCCGCGCCGTTTGTGAGCAGCTTGGTGACGGCGGCACCAGGTCCGGCCCCGCTGCCGGGCGGAGGCATGTCCTTCACCATGCTGTACTCGCCCGCCACCTTGGCCGCCAGCTTGAGCGCACGCCTGTGCGCAGCCGCGGCCGGCGCTCAAGGGAGGCGTTTGCGCGGCGGGGGAGGAGGGCACATGCAACATGTGAGCGCGCCCCGACTCGAGCGGCGGCGGCCGCTGCCCGTAGTTGCTGAGGTACATGCCGTAGGTCCGCTTGAGCGAGCGTAGGCACATCTGGTGGACGACTTGGCGCGCGTCATCCTCGCCAGCCTTCTTGCGGGCAACCATCGCCACGCCGCACCACACCGCTCCAGCCCCACTGACAGCACCCGTCTAAAGAAAAAGAATTCGCACGCCGAGGGAAGCCACTCGTAAGGTAGGCGACGACGCTCGCGGGCGGCGGCGGGCGGCGAGGGTCGATGTACCCTCCGTGAGGTGCGCACGGCGCTGTTCACGGAGCCGCTCCGGCTGTGAACGCGCTCAAAGACGACGGGCGCCCCGGGGTTGTGCGTTCATGTGAACGCACTCGACGAGCATGTGGACGATGAAAAAGAATTTTCCTGAGACAGAAACCGCCGGCCCCAACGTCACCTCACCTCTGATGACGCCCGTGTACGCTGCTCGGCGGTGGTTCGCTCTGCGCTGCGACCGCGATCACCCGCAGCCTCTTCGAGCGTCTTCCGCGCGAGGGTGGCGAGCGCGCGTCCGCTGCCGGCGAGCTTGAGGCTCGTGGCGGGCATGTAGTTGACGTCGATGACGAGCAGGGCTCCGCCTCCCAGCGGCGCGATCAGGTCCACCCCGAGCAGCGCGACGCCGAGCTCCCTCGCCAAGCTGGCCGCCAGCTGCGCCGCCTCGGGCTGTCGAGCAGAGGCCGCGGCGGCGGCGCCGCTGGCCGCGGGTGCGGCGGCGGCGCCGAAGAGCTCGGCGGGCGGTGGCGGCCGCTGCGTGTTGAAGCGCACGAGGGGCGGGCAGCCCGCGGGCGGTGGAGCGCCGAGGCGGAGGTCCGGCAGCGACGGGCGCAGCTCGCAGTGCGTCGTGTCTCCGACGCAGCACGCCTTGAGCAGGGAGGCGCCGTGCGGCACGTAGGCCTGCAGCAGCAGCGGCAGCGCCAGCTCCGCCAGCCCCTCCAGCCGCAGCACCACCGCGAGATCGTGCGACCTCGCCGCGCCGCACGCGAGGAGGGGCTTGCACACGAGGGGTGGCTCGAGCCCGGATCGCGCGGCGACCGCGGCCGCGTCGTCGCCCTCCCTGGCGATGGCGAAGCGGGGCTGGCGCGTGTGCGGCGATGGCGCGAGCGCGGCGAGCCGGGTGGCGAGCGCCGCCCGGTCGGCAAAGAGCAGGACTCGCTCGAGAGAGCCAATCAGCGGGAGCTGCGCCGAGAGGCGGCGCACGAGCGCGAGCCGTGCCTCGGCGGCCGCGTCGCCGCCGACCGACGCGTCGTAGTTCGATCGGTGGAGCACGACGCTGTCGGCACGCGCGGCCGCCTCTGGCCCGAGGCTCACGCCATCGACAAAGCGGACGCCGTCCACGGGTCGCGGAGCGGCGCTGAGGACGAGCGCGGTCACGGGTGCAGGGAGCACGAGCAGGCAGGTGAGCGAGTCGTGCTGATCGGCGTTTTGATCGGCGTTTTGCATGCGCATGACGGTGCTCTGGGTGGAGGCAGCGGCAGGGGTCGGGGCCGCACGCGCGGTGGCAGTGGGCGCGGCAGCGCCGCCCCGCCGCAGTGAAGGAGGCGGAGCCGACGGAGTCGGAGAGGGCCGCCGCCGGAGCACGGCTGCGCGGGGCGACTAGCTGTAGCCACACGAAGGTGCCGTACTTCACACTCAGCTCGGCGCGGCGGTGTGTGCGGCCGGTTCGTGTGCGGCCGCGGGCGGCGGGTGAGGTAGTTGAGCCGTGTGAACCCGAGCGGCATGCTCCTTGTGTCTGTTTGTCTCTAGCTCTCAACGGGCCAGGCGCGCACGAGCAGGCGCGCAGTCCATATCCATCTCGTTCTTCCTATATTCGACGTTCTTGCTCATATGCGTTTCCGGGCTCCGATTCGTTTCCGATTCGTTTCCAGTTTCCCCTCCCTGTACCCTGACTGCTGACAAAAAATCTTTACGCCCTCTCTACATACATGTGTCGTTGTGCCCTTGTTTGTACTCTTGGCACCGTGGAGTGCTGGGGGGGGCGACAGGGAGGATGTGGCCTTGAGTTATGTGTACGCCAACTCAGGGTGTGTGGCAGCCAGCTGGCTGTGTGTCTTGTGAGCCTGTTTGTGTCTGTGTGTCGCTCGTGCGTGCCGTCATCATCTGTCCAGCGTCCACGCATAGTTACCGCGTTGGTGTCCAGTCCGAGCCTGGCTGTTCTTCACCTTACTACATACATACATACATACATACATAGTGATATCAACACATTTTTTTCGTTGACGTTGTTGGTGTTGAGTCAGTTGCATGGTGACGATTTTCTTAATGATATTTTGGGCATTGGGGTGGCGTCCGAGCAGCAACCTTACCTAGAGCCGTACCACACCCCCACACACGGCAACCGGGATGGCGATGAGACGTGTTTACCGACCACGCGGGCCACGAATGTGTCAGGTGCCCGGGGGGGTGAGGGGGGTGCGGACTCCTGCCACCCGATGTACATTAAGCCGCTCATCGGTTCAGTTCCAGAGACCTCCTCCGGGTCAGGAGCAAACGTTGCTGGCGGTGTGAGCGCGAGACGGCGTGGTGAGGCTATTGTTGTGGGGTGCGGGCTGCGTCGTTAGGCGTATGCGTGCACATGGTGCTGTATGCTGTGTGTGCAGGCAGGCTGGCAGTCTGTGCAGCAGAGAGCGGATGAGCGCGCGCGTGCGGGCGTGCGTGCGCGCCTGCGCGGTGCCGGATCTGCGTCGCACTCGCGGCGCGTCCTGGTACAGCCGCTTGTGAGATGCCAGAAGCAGTGTGCAGATCCTGCACAGGGCGCAAAAAGGCGCAGGTGTGCTGGTGAGGTGTGCTGCGGCGCGCGCGTCGTGGCGTGAGTGGATATGCGGCTGGCTCTGGTAGTGCGAGAGGCGCGCAGCTGGTGCGGGCGGCGCGGGACGGCCATGGGGCGCCAGCACTGGGTCGCACTGGGAGTCGCCCTCCCAGCTCTGAAGAAAAGTAGCCAGTGCCCATGAATGATGCTGGTCTCCAGGTCCACGCTCGGAATTAGCCCGAGCAGCGCCTCGGCTGCGTCAATGTGGCTGTCGCGTTCCGCCTCGTCTACAATCATCTCGGCCGCGGCACGGAGGAGTATGGACGGGCCGGAGGCATCGTCGTCTTCGCGCACTAACAAAAAGAATTTCAAGGCTTGAATGCAGTCGTTGCCCTAGGGTGCGAATAAGACATGCGGCGGTACGGCCCCCCGAGGGGCGCGTTCGGCTCGGCTTGCGAGAGAGAGATAGGAATACCATGTTGGGACGCCGGGTTCCCCTCACAAGCAAAGACACAGCTGAAGCCGAGATCTCAAATAAAGACCCTATACCATTTGTCGGGCTGGTTTATCTCCGGTTTTGGCGGCAGTTTACCGGGTTAGCGCGAGCGCGTGGCCTGCCTCAGCACGGCATGCTGGCCACGAGCAGACAGCGCCTGCTGGCCATTTCGAGACATTCGCAAAGAACGCTAGCTGCATGGGAGGGCTTCGTGAAGGATGGATTGAAAAACATTCGAACAAAGAAGAGGCGACGGGAGGAACCAACAGAGGATGCAGTGACGTGACACACACACACACACACACACACACACACACACACACACACACACACACACACACACACACACACACACACACACACACACACACACACACACACACACACACACACACACACACACCGCTCACCCACGCGCACTGGGCCTCGCACATTTAATGCCGTGGGGCTCCTGTCGTTAGACGTGGAGACGCGAGGGTCGCCCCCCCCTTGCCCCACCACCTCGTGTGTGTGGAGAAGTTTACCTTACCTTACCTTACCTTACCTGCTGGCCTTGCTAGAGCTGCCCGATGACTTGCAGAAGTACTGGGTCCGCCATCTCGACACGCCGACAGCCCAGCGTGCCGCTTCGCGCAGATTAGCAGGGGCTGAGCACTGCTCGTCCGTGTTCGCCTCGTCGTGGCAAAGGCTGCACACGAGGCGGCGCGGCAGGCAAGGACGCGAGGGCGCGTCGTGTTTACCAACAAGGGCAAGAGGTACATCGATGGTAACATTGAGGTATTCATGGCGACCGAGCCGCGGCTGCGCCGGATGTTTGCTGAACGCCTCTTGATGATCGCTGTGCAAGAGACTCGCGTGGACCTCGGCGTAGCAACATGGATGGACGGTCAAGTCGGTCTACGATCGACTCTGCAACCTCCGCCACCGCCGCATCCGCGAACTCCAGGTCACAGGCGGCCTCGCACCGTAGACTCGCGACATCTCACAAGCATCAGGCGTCGACCCACCCCTGGTCGCGTCTCGGTGAGTCAGAGGCGAGTTTGGCCGGTTTAGGGCGGTTTAGTGCTAAACCGAGCTCCTCGGCCAGGCAGACCATTCGTGTTTAGTGACCGTCTAGGCTAAACGGCGCTAAACCGCCCTGGGTTAGGGGGCGCTAAACCACCCTATATGAGCGTCATCTTGTAGTGAACAGGCCGACTTCGCGGTTTGAGCGCCCAGCGCAGACCGACCGACCACAGGGGGGGTCCGGTCGGCGGCCGCGGAAGACCGCAGACCGGACGGGGGGTCCGGTCGGTCGGAGCGCAGACCGAGGGTTGGGTCGGTCGGGTTGGCTCGAGGGTCACACCGCACATGCTCGCCGCAGCTGTGAATAAATTAGTGTCTCTATTAGTATCTCTAACTGAGTTGCAGTATATCTCTATAACTGAGTTGCTCATGGAGGGGCGTCCAGCACCCGGATCGATTGCCATTCGCAGGCCATTCGCTGTCGTTGAGGAAGCGACTCGCGGAAGCCGATGAGCCCGGTGACGGCGGCGGCGATGTGTCGATCAAGTCTCTCTGGCAAGTCATCGTAGTCATTGGAAGGGACGATGCGCGCGCGCACTTGTGGAGAACTGGAGCGCTGCCAGAGCTTGTACACAAAGCGGCGGCAAGCAGGATCACGGCAAGCAGGATCAGGCCTGCGACTGCGTGGATGCTCCACATATGTGTGTGGAGTCGGGCTCGCTTGGGCCTCGGCGAAGAAGTCTCCTTGGCGCTTGGCTGCGTGACTAGTTTTCATAGTGAAAACCGGCGATTTCGAAGCGCCCGTGGCGATTCGCGAGAAGGAGGGAGAGCGTTTGATTGAGGGGGCTCACGGCAAGCGGGACACCGACCGAGGGGGGGGTCGGTCGTCACACCTCCCGCCGCCGAGAGAGCGACCGACCGGAGGGGGGGTCCGGTCCACCTCGGGGGCAGACCACCGACCGGCGGGGGGGTCCCCACGAAGTAGGGGGGGTGGGTACAAAATGACGCTCCTATAACCCACCCTGTTCGATCGATAGGCTCTCATCGGAGAAACGCCTTGCTGCCGCCTGAATGAGGTGCTCCACACGCATTGCGGCGGCCTTCTCTCGAGGTCTCGAGATACACAGAGCGGCCAAGGAAGCATCCAGGAGTGCCAGAGACCCTTAGACACCATGGCGTGTTTCTTGTAGTCTCTTGTAATTCTTGTAATGACCAACATCCGACAGGGAGGGGGAAGGCTGGGGGTGATTTCTCAGATTTTTCCCGCAACCTCCTTCCCCGATAGAGGACCCCTCCCTGAGTCGGCGGATCGAATTTCCACGCGAATTTCCCTCGGGCATCGCTGTGAATGAGCATTCGCGGGCCAGGCCACAAATACAGCGGCACTGGAGAAATACTCGCTCCTTCCTCGCCGCGACGCCGACTGGCGGCTCGTCGCGGGCGGCCAGGTGATCGGCTAGAGCCCAGACGTCGGGCTTGGCCTCCGTCGCCGTTCAGATGGACGGCTGTTGGTGGTGCGGGACCACGAACTGGGCGGTGAGGCGGTGAGGCGGTCAACGGGCTGCCCGCCGTGGCTCTAGAGCGAGGAGAAGCGCTCGGGCCGGCGTCTCCGGCGTCGACGTGCATCCATAGGGACTGCGCGGCGGCGGTACGCAAGAAAGCTTCTGCGCTCGCTGCTGAGGAGCTTGCTGCTCCGCCGGCAAGAAGCACGCGCTCCGCTGTCGAGACTGCGCGTCCCGACAGCAAGCGCCCCGCTGTCGGCGGCTGGGCGACGGAGTGTGGGTTGATACGGCGGTGATACACCCCCCTGACAGCAGCGCCTCGCGGTGTGGGCTGCGAGGTCACTCGAGGTGACCCAGGGGGCGGCGGGGAGCACTCTCCCGCCGGAGCAGCGGGTGATATTCCCGCTACTCGCTCGAGTTTGAGGTGCGCCGCGCCTCGCCTGTGCTGCCTTCCCGGCTGCCCCAGCCGCCCTCACCGTCCTCATCCCCTCCCCCACCCCCTCCCCCTCAGGCTAGGCCCTCGCCACCGCCGCTGCCGCTGTCTCCGCCACAGCCGCCGCCGTTTCCCTCCCCCCCACCCCCTCCGACGCCGTCGCCTCCGCTGCTCCCGCCACCACCGCCGGCCGCCTCAGCTCTCCCTCACCCACCTCCCACACACCACCAACGCCCTCCGCGCGTCCCCGCAGGCCGCCTCCGCGCCTCCACGCCCCCACGACGACCTCCCGCCCCGCCCTCCCCGCGTCTCAGACCTTTGGCCGTGCTCCGCTCGGGGCGACTCGGCGCCGCCGTCGCGAGCACGCCGCCCTCGCCCCCGCCACCTTCCCCCCCGCCGCCATCCCCACCGCTGCCGTCGCCGCCGCCCCCGTCACCGCCACCGCCCTCGC